AGGGTGTGTGTGTGTGTGTGTGTGTGTGTGTGTGTGTGTGTGTGTAGTGAAGGGTGGGTGCACTAACTACAAGATTTAAAGTTTAAGAAGTTTGCTAGAGACTAAATGACCATGGAGAAGTGATTATTTAATAAGAGGAAGTGTCAAGTCTGTAACAAACTCTGTAATTCAGAACTCTATTTTCTGTTAGACATTGGAGAGACTATGTTTACAGTTTCTAAGCTTTTCAAAGGTCTATGAAAATACTTTTCAACTTAGCACAAAATTAAGGGAAAAAACCTCAGCAAATACTGCTAGCTTGACATAATTGTTGTTAGATGCTGTCAAGTCGACTATGACTCATAGCAACTCTATGCACGATATCTTGGAACCCTGCTTTATCATGAGTCGATCTTACTGTCTCTGACACACCTTCCCTCATTACTCTTGTCATGTGTCAATCCATTCCATTTGGGGTCTTCCTCTCCTGCATTGTCCCTTAACCCTTCCAAGCATGATATCCTTCTCCAAAGACTGATTGCTCCTCGCCACATGGTCAAAGTACGTGAAGCAGAGTATCAAAATCCTTGCTTCCGAGGAACAGCTTGTTTTTACCCAGGACAGACTTGTTAGTTCTCTTGACAGTCCATGATATGTTTAATACTCTTCTCCAGCACCACAACTCCAAGGCATGAATTCTTCTGTCATATTTGGTCCTTGTCCAGCTCTCTGATGCATAGCAAGTAATTGTGAAGACCAAAGCTTGAATCAAGCATACCTTAGTTTCCAGGCTGATATCGTAGCTCTTTAGTACCCTGGAGAGGTCTCTGACTGTACCAATGTAATTCATCTTTTGATTTCCTAACTGCTGGTGCCAAGAGAATTGATTGTGGAACCGAGCAAGCTGAAATTGTTAACAATCTAAATCTCTTCTTCATCTATCACAATTCTGCAATTTGGCCCAGTGGTGAAAATCTTTGTTTTCTTGATGTTGAGCTTCAATCCACATTGAAGGCTGCAGTCCTTGACCTTTTGCAAAAGCAAGCACTTCAGGTCCTCCCCAGTTTCAGCAAGCAGGATTGTGTCGTCTCCACAACACAGGTTGTTAATGAGTCTTCCTCTAATCCTGATGCCACATTACTCTTCATAGAGTCCAGTCTCCTGGATGATCTGTTCTGCATAGAGATGAAAAAGAATGAACATAGGACACATCCCTGACGTATAGCCTTCTCAATTTTGAAACATGCAGTGTTTCCTAGCCCTGTTCTGATGATTGCCTCCTGGTCCAAGTATAGATTTCTCATAAGCACAATCAAAGGAAAGTTTCAAATTGAAAAATAACAAACTTAAATTGTTTCAGGACTTTAAACAAGCTGTACTGATAAACCAGACTAATGTGAACCTTTGCCAAGCAACTGCCATGTGCCATTATAGGTAAGGAGTGAACTTTATGTTGAAATGAATGTAAGTGTGATTACCAAGTTTATCTAATTACAGTAAAAGAAATAAGCCAGGAAACAATAGCTAGAATAGGAAAATGATATGAAAGTGGCCAGCACAAAAGTAGAGAGAGATACAAACCAATAGCATAGTATTTCCTGTATAGGATGGAGTTCACACCCTTCTGTAATGTTAATACCCTCTGCTTTTGAAAAAACTATTTCAGCAAGTTAGCAAGTACAAGTAGGCATCACTTAATGTCCATTTGGGCAATGACTGATCAAATTTATGACTTTAGTCTCATGAAGATTTTTGTTTTTTAAGGGAAGGCAGCTACATATATGATTACTTAAAGCATTGTTGCTTGTTTCTGATTGTTTAAAAACAAGTAAGTTGCAAAAGAAGAAAAAGAACAAATCACAAAGGCTGAAATACAAAAGATAATTGACTTAAGCTACACTCTGAGATAATTAAATTGTGAGTGTGTGTTAAACTTTTATAATCATAATGCTTACATATCCCCATGTGTAGTTGACATCTAAAAGTTATTTTTGTTCATAGGCTTTTAAAAGCAATAAAAGTTCAGAATGTAAATATGAGTAAAATGTCTTTGGTCAAACAATAGTTTGTAGCTTTACTTCTTCTATGAGAAACAAAAAAAAAAGTGCAGTTAATTTGGTAAAGGAAATTGGCATAGCTCATAATCTAGATTGTAATTGTAGTTGTGTGCCATTAAGTTGGAATCAACCCATATCTAACTCTTTAGTAGGTCTCAGAGGCAGTAAATGGTACAGGATGAGAATCTCTGTCCTTCTTCCATGGAACATCTGGTGGACTTGAACCATGTGCCATTGGGATTGTAGCACAGCTTCTTACTACCACTTGGTTATCAGAGTATAATATATATTAGACTATAGAAAAATCTTGGGATCTGATATAGTTTATTTAGGAAACAGTATATATTTTTTTCCTACATAAAAAGTTACAGACCTACAAAAAAGTCATTATTATGTTATTTACCTTTAAGATATTGAAATTGTTTAGCCTTGCACAGATCTTCTCTTTTATTTTACTCACTTTTCCCAAGCTATACTAGTATTTATGAATAATGCAAATATTAGTAATAGTATACTTTCTAAGTGGTGACCAATTCAATACATCTGGGGTTTTCTGTATGTGTTTATTATTTTATCCTGTTTCTTTTTAAAAGCCAAGATTCAGATGATGCTTACTTTGACATTATAAAAAAAATAAAGCTATACTCACTTTGGAAGCAGGAGTGGCACCCACTTCCTAAACAACATGCCTCTGGAAACTCTATGAATTTTAATAAATGGTGATAGTTATAGAAAGATTTCAGGCCTTTTCTTCATAGTGTCCTTATGAGTTGTGCTCGACTTGACAACAATTAACAGCAACAATATATATTTATATATTTTATTACACATATATGTTTAACACATGTGTATGTATGTTAAATATAATACCAAGAAGTCTTCACAAGTTAGAATTCCTCAGCTGGTCTAAGACCTTTAATTTTAAACAGAGAACCATAGTAACACCATTGTCTATTTCAGTCTAGCAACCTTTGTCTAACCCACTGCTTTAAGTGATTGTCCTTCAAAAGCGATAGAATAACATGACTGATGTATTTACTTTAGTGGCTGAGTGTTGACCAAAAATGTCTGAGGCAGTTGTATTATACGTGAAAAAGGCTCCAGAATTTCACTTAGCCTCATTCCTATGTTTAGCAGCTATTAGAGCCGGCAAAGTTCTCTATGTGTTGTATCACAATCTCTTTTATGAAATGTAATCACTGGGTTTGTACGGCAGAACCTCCTTAAGCTGATTCTGCTTTGCAATTCCAAGTAACCATCTTCCCTCAGCCGACTAGACTCCATATCGTCATTTAATAAAAGTATAATTTAAATCAGCAGTAAAGCCCTGATAACTCACTGTCCAAATTTTAGGCGTTTTGAGTTTCACCAGTTTTACTGAATTTAGTTATAAGGAATGTTTAGTGATTCCTCCACTTTATTGCATGAAAAATATATTTTTGTTTTTCAAGGCAAGCTGCAGATAATATATTTATTATATAGCCATATGGTTCTAGATGTATTATGGCACATTATTCACATCTTAAAGCAGGGAAAATAACATTTTCTGTTTGGAAAATTATTATTTAAAAGGAAAAACCCTTTCCATTTTAGGGCTTTGATCTTTGAACTCTTGGGTTTGCAGAGTTTTGAAGTATGCCTTTGTACGTCCCTGCTTCTCACTCTTGTGGTTGCTAGGAGACACATTCCTTAGGCTGAATATCCTACTTACTGCTCACTTTGGTCACCAAGAGCCAAGAGTGCTAAGCTAGAGTTAAATGTTAGATCTCTTTGACGGCAAAACCATGGTATGTATGCGTAATTTCTCATATTTCGGTGAGGTAGACCATGATTATTTAGAATCAGAAATCCTCTTTTTTTACTCCAGCACATTTATTATCTTCCTATTTTTCTATTTGCATAAAATACTCTTTGGCTCTGCAAGCCACATTCTTCAGTTTGGAGAGGTATCTGTGGTTTATTTGTACAACTTTGTAGGGTACATGTGGTCCTATATGTCATTAATCTGAGAAATGCTACAGGCCTTTGTGGACATGACCTGGCCCCCAAGCTCAGCACTCAGTCCAGTGCCAATAAGATAGTGTAACAAGAATCCTATACTTTCAGTAAATGAATGCATGAATTTAGATTTATACAAATACACATTATTTTAGAAAAACGGCTATCTCTCATATTTCTTGTAACGGATGCTTAACAATTTAAGTTGCAGTGAGCACATCACTTAGATACAGAATGTATACTCTGCCAGATATTCTGGCTAGCCGTTGTGTAGTCATTTAAAAAAGAGCTTCAACCAACAGGACATTGTAATATACACAGACATCTTCAGTAAAATGACCTATTTTCATAGTAGTACTTTCCCCCTTTCTCTTGTCTATTGGTGCCTGGGCAGTCTCTGGCTTTGGCATACTCATCTCTTCTGGGCTTTGTTTTCATCATTATCCCCTATGAATTGTGAGCCTTACTAGAAAGACCTGATGATCAACTTCTAAAAAAATTCAGCCATTGAAAACCAAATGGGGGCACATCATACTTGGACACATGGGGTTATCTTGGATCAGAATTGAATCCAGGGAAACTTGTTTTTACAGCTTTAAGATTTAGTGATTATTTGCTTAGTCAGAACAGACTAGATTCTTGTTAAGCATTAGTACTGATAACCAGATGTTGTTATAAGGTACCATTCAGCTGGCTCTATATATATTGACTCTATATATAACGTCCTTAAATCTTGCCTGATCCTGGGACAGTCTCACAGTCTCCTCTGTAATCAAGCCCATTGTTGCAGTCGCTATGTAAGATCATTTAGTTGACGGTCTTTCTCTCCTTCACTGATTCTCCACCTTTCCAAACGTGATGTCCTTTTCTCAGTACTGGGCCCTCCTGACAATATGCCCAAAGTATGATAACTGGAGAGGCATAGAGAATAAGTCCAGTCACAAGCCATAATGATGTGATGGTGAACTTCCTTTTATGGTTTCAGTTTTCTCAGCAGGTTATACTGTACAAAGGGTGCAATTACATTTTATAAACCACATGTCAGGTAAAGTACTCTCAAAAGACTATTGATCTCCCCTTGGCCTGAAGAGGCAGTATGTGTGGTGCAATTTGGATGTCAGGATACTAGGAACAATTCAAAGATTTATGGAGAAAATGTGAGACAATTAGAACTTTCCTGGAGATTTTAGGTTACCTGATCATATAGGTATGCATTATAAGTAACAATTTTACTCACTGCCTGTGGGTAGAAATACTGAGCACAACAAAATCTAATAGGTAAATACATTTCCCTACAAAATGACAACAAGCTAATTCTTCTTAAGAGTTTAGTGTGTTAAATTTAGATTTATGTAATACAGAGAGAAGACAGTTGTAGAAGAAATCGTCACATTCTATATTCAGCAAACTTTTACTTATCAAATAGGGCCAATTGTCAGAAAGTGGAGTGCAATTTCATTGTAAACTACTAGTGGGAAGTGAATTCTTGTTTTATGAGTAACAACCCAGAGGATGAACTCCGAAGACGGTAAATGGATTGTGTGTGTGAACATTAATTAACCCTTGCTATTGTGTTAAAAGTTGGGTTTTACTATTGCTTCACTGTTGATCCTTGTATATTCTCCTAGAATACTTCTGGGTAATAATTGCAAAACACGGATTAAATATTTTTACTATCTCCATTCTTTTTCATGGTGTATGGACAAAACAAAACAAAAATTCTGAATCACACTGGGAGAAACTATGTTCCCTTTCAGTTTTAAACGGAATTATTTCTCAAATTTTCTTACCCCTCTAAGAAGAAAGTCCTAGCTAAGATGTAGACTTTAACATCTTCCTAACACTTGCTAATACTTTCAATAAATACTTCCTCTTGGCGAGCTCTGGTGGCCTAGTGGCAAGAAGCTGCACTGCAATCTCAGAGGTACACGGTTCGAATCCACCAGATGCTCTGCTGGAGAAGGAGGAACAATCTCCTCCTGTACCAGTCAGATCTGATTTGACAGTACACTCAAAAAATAATGAAATAAAATAAAAAAAATACTTCCTCTTATGTTCGACTGGAACAACCCTCATGTTCATAGTTTTGAATAGACTACAGTTTCTAACTGTGCTTTTAGTTTACTTTTTAGGGTTGACTTTTGTTTCCAACCTATTATTTATATATGATCACTATGGTTTGTAATCAACTTGATATCAGCCAACAGCTTCTATTTATTGATTTTTTTAAAATGACTGTTATCTTAACCTGTTGCCACCTTGTTGATTCCTACTCATTAAAATTCAGAGTAGAACTGTTCCATAGGGGTTTGCAGTGACTGATTTTCTCAGCATTAGATCACCAGACCTTTTTTCTGAGTGCTTCTGGGTAAACTTTAATATCAAGCTTTTTAGTAATTAACTGAGTGTATTAACCACTTACACCTCCCAGGGAGGGATAGTAAGTTATAATTGAAAGTAAATTTCTTTAATGTAATATATATATTATGTAAAAATATGAGTAGGTTTGAAGAAAAAAAAAAATCAGTGAATATTGGCTTTGATAGAATACAAGGGATTGACATAAAGGAAAGCCTGGGGTTTGAGAAACATTCTTTAAAAGACAGCTGAGTAATATCTGAGTGCTTATCATTTCTAGAACACATGCTCTGGGTTTCTTATATTTTATAAGGGGGAAATGTGCAAGAGTGTGATATGTATTATTGAATTTAGAACCTGTTTGAGAAGCAATGAACAAAATAGAAACAAGATACTGCTACTACTACTACTTATTGGATAAGGATCTCTCGCTAGGCTAGGTGTTCTTCACATCCTCTTTTTTTGATGCTTATAGCAAACTTGCAGAATTAGTATCATTTCCATGTTTGAGCTGAGGCCTGAATTCCAGACTTTTCTAATTGCTTTTTTGTAGTATCAGTTCACTTCTCTTCTATACCAACTGCAGCTATAAATAAAGGTGCAGAGTGTATTGATGATTATGTGGAAGAGTATGGATTTTAGGATAAGGTTTAGCTGAATTTGAATTCTAGTTATTCTGTCCAAATTTAGTATGGTCTTTACTACATCATTTGCTTTGTAGAATCGTTTCTAAGCCTTGATTTTCTTTCCATCTGTAAGATAATAACTGTAACCAGCTTATAAAATTGTTGGCAAGTTTAAGTGAAATAGTGGATTAAAAGCCCTTAGTATAATATTTGATAAAGAAGCAGTTACCCTCATTGTCAAAAACAAACAAAACCACAAACTAGATTCTCTGCAGGTTAACAGAATTGAAACATAATTGCTGAATATGCAAGTAAAGTGGAGAAGTGACTTTATGATTCCAAGAACAAATATTTAATTCCTTCAGCAGGCTCGCATCCACCAAAGGAGAAGAACACAGGAAAAATAGATACAGTTTTACTCTTGCCATGAATTTAAAAAACTTAGTAAATAAATGGTGCTTAATTCTTTCCCTTCTATTCTCTGCTAGTGTCCACAGTTTGATGCCCTTATGCGTAAGGAGCTATGCTGCCAACCCAAAGACATCATTTTTACTCCAGAAACCTCTGCAAAGGAGAAAGATGAGCGGTCTCTTCCTCTGCATTTTACAGCCTCTAAAAATCTGCTAGTGCTGTAGCTATGAGTTGCTTCTGATTCAACAGCAATGAATTTGTTTCTATATATAAAAAATATAACCTTAAGCACTTAAACAGATGAACATTTGGTTTCTTTCAAATTATAAAGAAAAAAATCCCATAGTTTTTAAAAGTACCAAATGTATTTAAAATAACACATTCTGATTTTTATAACATTTGCTTTTCTATATTGGTAAGTGATGTTGTTGTTTTTGATTGTCATCAAGTCGAGCATGACTCGATGACCCTATGAACAAAAGGCCTGAAGCCTTCCTATAACTATTGTAATTTGTCAAAGTTCATAGAATTTCCAGAGGAATGCCATTTAGATGTTAAGAGTTCTGGGAAAAGAATTTCTGAATCACATTCCAATACATTCTGCTGTGAAAGGCTAGAACCTGACAGTCTGTTATTTATGAGTACTCTATTTACCTGTGAACTCTAGTGGCTTAGTGGTAAGGAGCTGTACTGTGAACCTGAAAGTTTGCAATTTGAATCCTCTAGCTGCTCTGTACAATAAAGAGGAATCATCTCCTCCCATATAATTTACTGCCTCTGAAAACCATGACTATGAGTTGGTTCCAACTTGACAGTACATATAATATATGTACTATCAATATGTACTGCAATAATATATGATAGATAGGAAAAAGAAAATATCATTTATAAAAATTAAAATGTCTGCTAAAAATGATTTCTGGGGAAGGACTATGAAAATTGTTCAAGAAACATAAATATCCTCATTTATTTTCAGAATTAAAGAGTTTGAGGATGCTGTTAATTTCTTCACCTGGGCTATTAAAATTGATCCAAATTATGTGGACGCCTATGTTGGAAGGGGAAATTCTTACATGGAATATGGTCATGATGAGGCCATCAAGCAAGCACAGAAGGACTTTCTGAAAGCCTTACATCTTAATCCAACTTACAGTAAAGCCAGAATTAGTTTAAGCTATAATTTGCAGGTAATATTGTTTAACAACATTTAAGGCTAAGAAAGCACTTTTGGGGAAAGTTGTAAAAAAAAATATGTTTCTTTACTAGAACTGTAAATTCATTTTGTTTCTTTGACTATAAATAATATACCTGTGGTGTTACCAAAAGTTGGCTTTTTTTTAGCCATTACCCTTTCCCCCTCTGGTCTTCAGCTATCTTGACTGTAAACAAGTGATCTTGCAAATCAACATGGTCTTGCAAATCAACAGCTATGTGACTAGGATAAGAAAAAAAGTGCTTCCCATACTGATTGGCAGTTCTTGAAGTGAGCAAGACTTGTGGTGGCAAGACTCGAGGGAGATTGGAGCAAGACCCTGGTGGTGGTGGAGGAGAAACTATGTGGCCACAGTTAAAGGTTTTGCTTTTCTTGTCAGATGCTTGAAGGGAAGCTGAGTTATAACTGCTGTGAGGCAACTCTTGCTCGATGATTTGGATTTGACTGCTGAACAGTTACCAGAGCCTGGGCTAATTGTGGAATAATGCCTTGGAACTTGGGCTAAAACCTAGGACCTGTATTGTGAGATATGATTTGCCTCCCTCACTCTCCAACTTACTTCCCTAATAAATCCCTATTCTCAGTAGCACAACTCTGAGTTAGCAATGAATAAACAAGTCTCTTGCTGTTGGTATGGCTCCAGAAGCACCATGGGGCTGAGCTGCAGGCTCTTAATCTGCTTTCTGCTCTAAGGTAGTGAGGGCTTGTGCAATTCTTACTCCCACTGGCCCTTTCACAGAGATGCTTATACCACCATGTCCTGTTTTCTCCTCCTTAGACAGTACCTTTGAATAGCAGTGGAAATCAAGGGTTCAGTTAATTACAGAGAGCCTTCCTGGATATCCTGGAGACCTCATATGCTAGTCAGTTGAAGATCTTTTGAGTCAAAGGTTTTTTTTACAATCTGCACTCTTCCCTCACACTCAGTACTTTGAAAACTTGCCTGATGGATCCCACATATCTATTTGTTTTATTTAAAATAAGTGAGTTTGACTATCTGAGACAAGTAATATTAGACATGGTTGTTTGGATTGGTGGTTATATTGATATATTCCGAAAAACTTGCTAATAAGAGGAATACAATTGGCTTCTGAGAGTTAAACATAAAACTAGCTCTTACTTGATCATAAGATAAATCAACAATAGCAAACAGAGATAAGATGATTTCCAGAGAAGCTGGAGCAGAATGTAATGCAATGGGTTCTGCTGTCATCGCTCATCACTTTCAATAGTTATGTAACTGAGGCTCTCCTAGGCCTATGGATGTAGGTAGTAATGAACAAGTTACACTTGGTTCTTGCCCAAGGATAGTGTATTATTTGTCCAAGAGATGCAAATCAAATAGTCATACAAATAATTACTTCATTAAAAAGCATTTTAAGTGCAGCAAAATAAAAAGGAGTGTTATGACAATTTTATGACAACTTATAACAAGACAATCCACTGTTTTTGAAGGGATCAGATAGGGCTTTTTGGGAAAGTGTTATTTAAATTAAGGGTTGAAAGACTAGTAATTAGGAGGAATGATTGGGCCTAGAACACAGTGTTCCAGTCAGAAAACACTGCCTTTTAGGAAATCTTGTGAGAAAAGTACATTCCTCACAAGTGGTTGGAACCTCTTAGGAGCCTAAGTGATTAGAACACTGTGGACAAAGAGTAAATGGTACGAGATGAACTAGATCATTGAGCAAGGATTGGGGTAGAAGTTTTGTGAGCCAGTAAAAGATGGGAATAACTCTTAACTGGTAATACCTAAGTTACATTTTATGAGCCTTTCATTGGATATGTTTTAATCTGAAGAGGGCTGAAAAACGCATTAACACATTGCTGCACACTTTGAAATTGATGACTGTGCTTAGAAGCACATTTTTTTCAATGTATTACTAAGTAATTAACAAATAAATGCATTAGTACACTTCATACGAATGATGTACCTTTTTTATTAATTAAAATGTGCAGGACGGCCTAGCCCTCATTTGCGGCAAAGTGTTAAGACTCGGACTGAATCAGGAAGAGAAAAAAGGGAAAATTTAGAAGACATTCAAATATTTGTCCAGGGAAAACAATGATCATGTCTCCAACAAATATTTATAGATTCAGCATTCTCTGTGTGCCTAGGACTAGGGATAGAAAAGTGAGCAAAACACACCTCACCAGTAACAAACTGTGAGGCTCTTTGCAGCTTAGTATTCTAATAGCCTAATAACAATTGGTTTGACCTCTTGTTTATCAAATGAATATGTGACATTGGTGTTTATTTTAATGTCATTTATTAATAGAAGGAAGTTTTGTTGGTCAATGAATAAGAAAAAATTAAATATCTTTTTATAAGAGTTCATAAATCCATGAAAAAGTCATACAAAAGGAAACCACTTAGAAGATTCTCTAGTACTATTTTTTATGTTTATCATTTTCCTAGTTTCTTTCTCCACCTCCCCATCCCCCCACCTAATTTTAAGTGAGCCACTGAGCCCAGCTTGGTTAAAGAGAGTCAGCTTCTGAGATGCCAGCAATTTCGGTTTCAAGCCCATGAGAAAGAACAGAACCTGCATCATGCTGAACTTATCCACTCCACGCCCTCCTGCAAAGAAGCATTGCATTAGCAGCTGGTTTTCTCTAGGAGATTCTCTGACTGCACTGTCTTCACCAGTTTCTCTCCTGATCTTTTTTCTTTTTTCCTAGTTGGAGCTGAGTTTGATAAAACAGATGCTCCATAGATTTGAATGCATTTTCCATGAGATAAATAGATTCACCCTAAAATTCCAGATACTGGTACAATTTATATATATATATATATCACACATCAGTTCATTTATTCATTTATCTAATAGGTACTTAATATATTATGTGATATATAATGGAGATTCAGTGCCAAAAATGATAAATACAATCCTTGCCTAGATTTATCTTAGTATAAAGTTTGCAGCTATTTTCAGAAGTATTGGTGTTTCACATGGTGGCCATGACATTTACTATCCAAGGTTGGTATCAGAGAAATACATATATTTAAATTATTTTAATTAATTAAAATGCCACTCCAAGTGTTTAGAGGCAATTAATCAATTGAATATACTCATAGTGTGATCTGCTTTCTTATTTACTTTCTTATTTAATGCATCTTAAATTCGGTACAAGATAAATATACCCTTACAAAAGACTTTATTTTATTGAATGAGTTAAAATCATAAACATTTGCCATGATATGGACGATTTACTACTTTTTGTAAATGAAAAATTAATTTAGGCCCAAGGAAAATTCCAGAAAGCTTGGAACCATTTTACCATTGCCCTGGAAATTGATCCAAAGAGTTACACAGCATATGAAGGAAGAGCTGTGGTCTGTCTTCAGATGAGCAATAATTTTGCTGCAATTAATGATATTAATGCTGCCATTAAGGTAAACTCCACTTAGATAATATTGCCACTAGCATTAATTATCACCATCAATTAATTGGTTCTCTGATATTTTTTTTAAAAACTGTATTTTAGTGAACATTTGGGTAGCAAATTAGGTTTTCTTTTAATGATTTCTACACATGTTGTTCTCTGAAATTGGTTACATTTTTCACAGCCTGTCAACATGTCTATAATTTACATTGTGATTGTTTTGTTTCTATTAATCTAGCTTTTCTGTTGCTCTCTCCTCCTTCTCATCTCTGTTCTATATGATAAATATAGACTGATCTCATGTTGTTGTTGTTGTTATGTGCCGTCGAGTCATTTGAGACTCATAGCGACCATATGTACAACAGCCCTAAACCCTGTTCTACCCA